AGAGTTTCACTTTGTTTCCCTTGGTAGAGTGCTGTGACACCATAGCTCACAGCAACCTCAAAACTCTTGGGCTCAAGCAGTCATCTTGCCTCAACCTCCCAAGTAGCTGGGACTATAAGCATCTACCACAATGCCCGGCGATTTTTAGAAATGGAGTCTTGCTCTTGCTCAGTCTGGTCTTGAACTCCTGAGCCCAAGCAATCCACCCACTTCAGCCTCCCAGAGTGCTAGGATTACAGGCGTGAGCCACTGCACCTGGCCCCTTTGTCCATTTTTTAATTGGCTTGTTTATATTTTTATTGTTGAATTGTAAGAGTTCTTTATATGTTCTGGTGTGAGTTCCTTATTAGATACATGATTTGCACGTATTTTTTCTCAGTTTGTTAGTTTGCCTTTTCACTTTCCTGATAGTGTCCTTTTTGAAACACAAGCTTCAAAAGCATAAAAGTATCTTAATTTTATGAAGCCCAATTTACTTTTTACTTTTTTCTTTATTTAAAAAAAAAAAACCCAAACACGGTTCCCCTCTTCTTTTGTCTTAAGCTGGGTGCATTGCTCAGAAAATGGGCCTGCCCATCCGCCTGGTCGTGGCAGTGAACCGCAATGACATCATCCACAGGACTATCCAGCGGGGGGACTTCTCTTTGTCTGAGGCTGTCACACCAACCTTGGCATCAGCTATGGACATTCAGGTGGGCAGATCTGGCCCGAGTGCTGGTTGGGTGGGGCTGGACACAGGCTGAGCTTGGCGTGTACCCTGAAACTCTGCTTTTCTGCCCAGGTGCCCTACAACATGGAGAGGATCTTCTGGCTGCTCTCTGGCTCCAACAGCCAGGTGACGAGAATCCTCATGGAGCAGTTTGAAAGGACCCAAAGTCTGAATCTACCCAAGGAGTTGCACAGCAAGGTCGGTCACTATGTGTACACAGAAGAAGAGAAGGGGGAACCACATAGCTGACTTGGGGTGCAGAAGTCTGGCCAAGGGAAGGGGACACCTGTTTCTTGAGCACCTACTGTATGCCAGGCACTGTTGTAGTCGCATCACATGGATGAGGAGAGGCAGCAGAGTGCATGGTTTGGAGTCACATGGGCTCAATCCCAAACCAGCTGTGAGATAGTGGGCCAGTTTCTTAAACTCAGTTTCCTTATCTGTAAAATGTGGATAATAAGAATGCCTGCCTCACAGAATTCTTGGGAGAATTAAATCAAATAATGCGTCTGAGGCATTTTGCGTACTGCCTAGTAATATTGGGCTTAGCACATTATTATTATTTTCATATGTTACTGTTGTTCATTGCTAATGATTGTGATAACTGGAAGTCATTTTGTTCATCCAGTATGACCAGAGACCATTCACTGTTCCTGATAAGCTTTTCCCCTTTTTCTTTCTTCCTTTCCTTCTTTCCTTTCTTCCTTTTGAGAAATTTTATTTCTTTTCACTCATAGGAATCTCATTACTTATTTTATGTAAAGAAAAATAGGATTTTTGAAGGTGCCTTTAATTTTTCCTACCATATTTCCATTGAGTAGCCATCCAGACTGTGCAGATCTCCAGTGACGAGGGTATCCTACGAGGATGATACCGTCCTAACCATTACAAAGGTCTTCATGTTGAGCTAGAATCTGCTCCTTCTGGCTTGCAGAGTCTGATTCCACTTCCAGATTTTTCCCATATTTGAAGAGAATCCACATTTACGAACTTAGTCTTTTCATTTTCTTTAGCTGTCCATTACATGATGTAATTTTGCATGGTCAGTGTCTACCTTAACAAATTGTTCTCAAAACTGTATACAGTTCTCTAGGCTGAGCTGTACCCATGTAGACTGGAGTGGAATTTCTGTCTTCTGGAATCTGTGCTTCTTGTGATGCAGTCAGTGTATTTGGTTAGTGGTTAGTGTTGACATTCATATTTTTTCTTCTCATGTAAATGAGGTACTCAGTGAAGACAAATGCCCTGTCCACCACGCCTTCATTCTCTCCCTGGCTGTACACATAGCAGATAATTTGCTTGTTGAAGTGGCATTCATTCCTTCATTCAAATCAGATGTCTACTATGAGCCAGGAACTGGGCTAGGCACTGTGGGTATGGAGACAAACTATATCCATTGTCCTCTGTGAGCCGTCCCTGGG